GATAAGATTCATGTATAAACTCTGAAAATTTTTGGACATTAATATACTATTAGTTAATTAACTAAAACAGCCTACTTCTCTTTTTCTTGACAGTTGACGCTATCATAAAAAATAAAATCGCATAAACAAACTACTACTACACTTTATCTATTTCCAATTTCAAAAAAACCTATGCACCAGTAATGAATAATTCAAAACATAATAGTAGTCCAAATTTGCAGTAAAATAAGGACGCCATTTTCAGGAAAGAAATTTTTTTCTCCAGGGGGAGAAGAGGGTATGGGGGTGATAAATGGTGATAGGAGACTTACCTTGTGGTGGTGAACACACAATACAATATACAGGTGATGTAGTATAACCTGAAACCCATATAATTTTATTAACCAATGTCGCCCCAATAAATTCAATTTAAAAAAATAAATTTTTTTTTCTTCCGATTTGAAGACAGCAAAGCAAACTAAAGAATATCTGCATTGTGTCATACATAGGTTTCCTTTTACTTTTCTCTTAACTGCCTGACCCTACAAAGAAAGTTCCTAGTTAATCTGATCCTTCAGAGTCCGTTGAGAGTATTTTCCCACCTAGCTCAGGCCCTTACCATAGGTTTAGAACAATACTACTGACATTTTGGGTCAGATAATTAATTCTTTGTTTTGGGAGGGGCAGGGTGGGGGTACGATATAGCCTGTTCATTGTAGAATGTTTAGCACCATCCCTTGGCTAAATGCCAAAAGAACCCCACCTTCACTTGGGATAATGAAAAATGTTTCCAGACACTGCCAAAAGTCCCTTGGATGTAAAATCATCCCTGCTTGAGAACCACTGGTTAGATATTAGGGTCCTGGGTCTTTGAAAAAGGAGGCCTCTAATCAGCCCCATTAATTATAATTCTTTAAAAATTAATTGTTTTTAAAATTCAGATTTTTAAAAATAAAATGGTGATAGTACAAGCAGATTAAATAATATATTACATATGCCATACTCTTTAATGCATTTTTAGAGGATTTTGTAACATGAATTTCATCCATGTGGAAACATTAGTCCTCCCCCTCTGGGGAAATGTCCAGGTCTCTCCTTCCTCTGCTAGTAAAATGTCAAATACAGTATGTACATGCATACATGCATAAGAGAACCTAAACAACTCTAACTGACAAATCCCCATTTCTTGCCCTTCATGGCCACATTGTGGTTCTTGAACCATGCATTCCAGAGACTCAAGCTTCCACTCTGCAGATTTCCTCATCTGGTTTCTGCCATCTATTTGTGCAGCAAGCAGGAAATAAGCTGATGACCTTTAAAGTCTTGTCCTACCTTTCTATCCTAATACTCTCAGCTTTTACTTATTGACAAAAATACTCTTTCAGCTTTTACTTATTGACTCCCAGCTGACCAGACCACCTCTTAAGGTGACTGGAGACATTCTTGCTTTTTTCTTTCTTCACCCATTATATTAATCTATGCTGAATACAATAAAAAAAAAGCATGTCAGGTGTTGAAAGCATCGCTTAATATCAACGATCAGTTGCTTATTCTGGCTCAAATAAAATATTTTAAATATGTGGGTCTGCCTAAGCAAGATGCCTGCTGCCACATGGGGGGATGGGTCAGCGCCAGGATCGTGCCGGTTATTTCCTCAGTTCTCTCAGTTCTCTCCCCGGAGCCTCCTTCCCCAGCCTCTCCTCGGGTGTCTCTGGCCAACTCTGCCCCGCTTCTGCCAGAAACCAGAGGAAAGGAGCCTGTGAAAATATATGTAACCCTGTGTAAGTTCATCTGAACCACCTTCAGAGACCACTATGCTATCTCTGTTCTCCCAAATGTACTTGGAAATTAAGTATGTATCCATTGAAGCAAAAACGGTTGTAATGTCATAGGTTTTCCAAGGAAGGTATGAATTCCTTCAGGACCTGAATATCTTCCCCAGAGTTAAAGAGGACTTTACTCGTATTGGTGTTCACTCCCAATATGATCTGTCACCTTTCCGGCAGCTAGTTAACCTAGACTGTCTTCCATGCTAACTGCGTATGTCTGGAGAGGACTCTGGACCTGTGCCTCTTTTAGCTGCTTCAACAGGGTGGCAGCAACCAAACTGGAATCCAAGCCTCCTGATAAAAGACAATCAATCCTTCCATCTGTCATCAAACATTTCTTAAAGCATTATTAAAAAGGATCTGGAGGTTGCTCTTCACGATTTCTTTCTCAAATCTGGGAATAATTTCTCCACACTGTCATAGTGCAGTGATGACATTTAACCATTTCCACCTACACACCTTTGCCATTTGGCTTTAAATCCAAAACTTCACAGTGTCCAGGAAGAAAAGGTTCTAGTTAAAAAAAAAAAAAAAAAAAAAAAAGGCTGTGCAATGCTACAAGTTAACAAGAACTTTAGCTTCTGAACACACAGCCAAATCTATTTTCTATCATAGTTTTAAACAAAGGTTTGACTCCATGGAAATTGCTGCCCAGGAATACTTTCTTATTGGCTATATCCAGTAAAATAAATGCAAATACCCCCTCCAACATAAAAAAAAGTAAAATAAAATATTTTAACATGTAAATTGATTTTAAAATAAAAACTTTTCAAGCTATTGAGCTAATACCACTTATATGAATGAACCACAGAGGCAAATATTGAGATGAAAAGTAGATCAGTGTTTGCCTAGGTCTGACATGAGGTGGGAGAATGGAGAGTAACCACTAATGAGATGTTTTCTTTTGGGGGTGATGAAAATATTCTAAAATTGATTATGGTGATCATTGTACAACTTTGTAAATATACCAAACATCACTGATTTTACACTTTACATGAGTGTACTTTCACTCAATGAAGTTGTCTGTAAAAAGCTAAAAGAAGGAAAATAAGTTTATCAACTTTTATTGATAGGAAAATGTGATTAAGAATAAATTACGCAAATTTTGCCATTTCATGAGTTATAAGATTTGATTTTAGTTCTGAAATTATGAAAAACTTACTACCTATCCAGAATACCCTAACAGCTGTTAGGGGGTGAGAGACGGAGTGAGCAAAAAGCAAAAAAAAAAAAAAAGGGAGAGAGAGAGAGAGAAAGAACTTCTGGACAAGGACAACAGTGTGGCGATTGCTGAGTGGTGGGGTAGGGAGGATAGAAGGTAGAGGAGAGTACAGGGGGATAAATGGTGATGGACTGAGACTAGATGGAATGAAGACATACGATACAGTGTACAGGTGATGTGTTGTAGCACTGTGCACCTGAAGCCTGAATAATTTGTTAACTAGAGTCACCCCAATAAATTCAATAAAAAGGAAAAAATTAAAATTAAAACATTACCTACCCAGAAATAAATTTTAACTTTTTCCAGAAAAAAATACATGCAAATTTAATCATTTTTACCTAGTAAACTTTGCATGATTTAGAAGCTATGAAAAACATTTCAGAAAACCAAATGCTACAGTAACATTATGTGTAGTATTACAGTAACATACCTCCACAAGAACAAAATACAGGAGTTCGGCACAAATAATGCCCCTCTTTTATTACAAAATCATAAGCATGTAATTCTGTAACATAACAATATCACACTCAAACACATCATGTGACATTTTAGGTGAAATGTCTGAATTAAAACTATAAATTATTACACCCATATTACTACCCTCCTAACCACACGCAAGCAGGCATTACTTCTGCTGGACACCGTATATGAATATAGTCAACAACAACAAAACATGGACTGTCTTAATAGTTTTGTTGTGATACATTCTTTATAAACAAAACCATTAAAACATGTTTCATTTCTTTTAAAAGTGATTCTCAAAGTATAATGTCTGTCCTGGTACTGTAATAATTCTGGTTACTACAGCATTATTTAAAAATAGCCAAATCACATTAAATTACAAACATCCAATCCCCCAAACCAAATTTGCACATATTGATCATTTTTACCCAAACCTATCATGAGCAACGATGATCACTATGAACCATCAAGTAACAACTATTGCTAGGAAATTGGATTCTAATTACAATATGAATACAGTCCAACAAACAAATCCCATCATTCTTTCTGTTCCATCATAAATGCTTAGAAATGATGAAGGCTCTCCAGGTACTTTTCCAATTAGAATTACCCATAGATTTATAAAAGTCAACCTGAATGTCCATCAAAATCTGCAATTTTCACAATAACACTCTTCTCAGTATACTATCAAAATATCACTTGCCTTGTAAGCATTTACTATTAAGATTGCCCTGGGGTTTGAAAAATCAGAAATAGGACCAATTAAAAACAAAAACATTCCAAACATTTTAATTCTTCGAAAGGAAGGCAGGCCTCGATAAAGACCAAAAAATGAAGCTGGTTAAAGGGGAATTTTTTAAAAATGCAACCCGGCTCAGCCAAAATTCTAAAAATACCATTCTGACCTCAGCACATGGGCAGCCCAAGTGGTCAAATACAATGGGCAGGCAAAAGTTCCCTTGTCAACGACAGGGAAGGCCTGCCTTTGTAATCAAAACAGAGATAGGAAGAAGCAGAACTGAAGAACATTAATTATTGAACAAAATATTGCGAACTAAACTGCCACACAGCAGAACACCGAATTATTCTTTGGTAGGCTTGCCCAGACACAAAAATGATTTTTTTTAATTTAAATTATTCCAGTGCCATCAAAAGTGGGCCTAAGGGCCCGGCTGTAAAAAGAAAGTTTGGGGGCAGCATCTAAGGAGGGTGGTGAAGTTCCAGAGCCCGGATCCGGCAGAGGGGCGAGAACGGCGTTTGCGATCAGGGACTGTAGGTGGTGAGGACATCTGCCGGACCGATCTCGGGACGGAATAAAAAGAAAGAGAAGGAGGTGACCGAGAGGTGAATGGAGCTTCAGCGCTGGTCAGTTATGACCGAAACTCTGTCGGCCTGGAACCGGGGAGGAGACGGGGGGTGGGGTCTGGGTCCCTCTCTTCACAGAGGAGGTCGGGTGGAGGGTGGGCCGCGAAGCGCTGAGAGCCGAGTGGGGCCGGCCCCACACCTACCTGCGGGTTTCGGGCAGCCGCCCCAGAGCGAGGCCTAGTGCATCGTCGCCGCCTCCAGCCCTTCACGTAGCGCAGACACTGCTGCTCCGCGGCCGCCGCCTCCCGGAGCCCGGCCGGGCCCGAGCCCGGCTTCTCGCCCCAGCCCCGCGCCGCCTAGTCCGACAGCCCGGGGAGCACAGGGCCGCCCTCTTGAGCCCAACTCCGCTTGCGGGTAAGAGGCGGCAGCGGCGGCTCCCTCACGTCTCTCCCGGGTGTTCTGTCAGCCAGCAGTTTCCCCCGGGTCCGCAGCGCCGCCTCCGCCGCTGCTGCCACCGCCTCTCCCACATTCCCGGCCTGCAGGGGAGCCGCCGCCGCGTCGCGACCACTACGCTTAGCGCTTCTGCTCCTTGCTGACTGCTTTCCTTCACCCAGCTGACCCCGCTCGGCCTGGCTGGGTCTGGGGAGACAGCGCCGGAGGCCGCCGCGAGGCCGCCGCAGCCCCCAGCCCACAATCCACCGCGCGGCTGCACTGGGGCGGGAGGGCCGCGGCCCGGGCCAGAGGGAGTACTCGCTGCCTCGGGAGAGGGGCTACGGCATTGGCGCAACCGGCGTTCCACCGCAGAGGGAAATACCCCGCACGGTTTCTTTGCACCTCCCCTCATAGTCCTGCGTGCGAAGGCAGAAACCCACGCTAAACTCTACTTTTCTCACGACCCTTCCCCCACCCGAAGTTGTATTCAAGAGCATCCAGGTGCCGCCTTCCACCTTACCCGGGACTGAGCCCTCGCCCTCCCCCCAGACCCACCGACTCCAGAAGTCCCTAAATCACCCATTGCCTGTTCAAATACATACTTCCACAACATTCCACTTCTCCTCCCACCCCCTCAAAGTGAACGCTGTTCAGTTTCCCAAATAACTGTCCTTTGAAAAGTTAAAGGTCACCTCCCTCTCCAACAACCCCCTGGACCTTGAAAACAGTACGTGGACTCCATGGAGGCCTTCCCCGACCGATCAGCCTTTTCCCCTAGTTCAGGCCTTCCTCCCAGGCACCTATCACACTTCTCTGGCACTGAAATCGAGGGAGATATTTGAAGTTTTTGTGAATTATTAATACCTCCCCATTGTGATTTTTAACGGTAATCCAATTTAAGAGGGCCTACAATCTTAATCCAATAAAATACAGTCCGCAAGAAAGGGAGTATCTTAGAATATTTTTAAAGAGAAAAAAAAGGGCCCTCATTCATTTGAGTCCTAATGTCTTAATTTTTGGAAGAGTTCTTTCAATTTTGAAACTATTTGAATAAAAATATCAAGGTTTCAGGCATTTAAAAGACGCTTGGTATATTTAAGCAGCACAAAAGTGAAAATGTAACTCTTATAGTTGGGAATTGAAAAAAAAAATCCATGCAAGTTTCACTTCCAAGAAATCACTTTAAAAACTGTGACCGTAATTCTTTGTGAAGTAATATTTTACCCACTAAAGAGTTAAAGTTGGGGGAAGGGAAGGACAGAAAAGAAGAAACAAAAATGGTTGAGTGGTAATTCTTACATTATGTTTTTCTCATTTCAATTCTCCACAATTTTGTAACGAGGAGAGTCAGGATTCCAAACATGAAATTCCAAACATGAAATAAATTTAACTATAAAATAATAAAGAAATCCACCTAAGTCCCTAATCTCATTAAAAAAAAAGATGAGTTTATATTATGAAAATATTAAGCAAAGATTCTTCAAATTACCTCTAAGGCCAGAGAGGAAAATAATTTCACTTTAAGTCCAAATTCAGTTCATAGATTTTACTAAGAAGTGGATTTAGTAAGTTCCTATATTTTGAACCTGCACCAGGAAATCAGGAGTTCAAAAGCTGCCTTAAGCATGGTGGTTTGGCCTTTTAAAAACTGTGTTTTTTTTCTGTTTGTTTTTTTCTTTTTATTGAATTTATTTGGATGGTTAATAAAATTATATATGTTTCAGGTGTACAATTCTATAATATACCATTTGTATATTGTACTGTGTGTTCACTACCCCAAGTCAAATCTACTTCAAAAACTATTTGCATTTATACTCCATCTTGTTCCAAAAAAGATTACAAGTGGCTAAAATGGGCAATTGGATTAAATAATAGCCTTGAAGTATTTTGTAAACACTAGAACAAGACAGACTGGTTTGCTGTACTCATTATCCAACTGTAGATAACATACCATAAGGAGGAAATACACATCGGGTATTGTGCATAGTTCTTTCAGGGGATCCAGCATAATGTCTACTTTTACTTTTCCACAGAACTAATCATATCATGAGTCTAAACAGAGAAGTAAATGCTGTTGATCAGATTTGCCAAAAACAAAACAAAAAACTGTTAACTGGACAGGTAATTTAATTTAGGTGGATCAATTTAAAATTAATATGTTCATTTATTATACCTTGAATCATTTCATATTAGAAAGAAAAGGCAAATCACAAATATGTATAGCTATATAAAATATAGATATATTTCCAGAAAGCACAAATAACAGAAAATTAAGAAAAACTGATAGAAATCATCATTGCCCTAAAAAAGGAGAAAATATTTAGCTACCATATTACTAACACTGCATTTGGCATGTTTATTAAAACTGTTAAGATTATGAGTGGTGATAATTATGAGGGCAATATATTCTCATTAGAGGAAGAATGGACAAATTTTTAAATTCTAGAACACCAATAAAATGTGTTCTATTTGTGTGACAGTAGTTAGGTTAACATGTCAACTCAATCAATAAACACCATTCTAAATGATTTGACAGAAACTATCCATTCAAATGCCAATATAAATTCAGAAGGGAAAGGGGACACTGGTAGAAGGAACAATCAGAAAAAGTATTTTGCAATTTTGTTAGACATGAGCACTAGTCCCTCTTTTTTTACACAATAGCAAAACTTAAATGTATAAAATGGAAACCCATTCAAGTCCTCTTACCTACTCTATAGCTAAATATTCAAGGTCTGGGTGGTGTAAGTCCAACCATTGTTAATATGGCAAGAACAGTTCGAATGACATCGATGTAACCTGGCAGCCAAGAAGAGTGGACTGGAATGCACATATGTGAACAATGACATCTTCACTGTACTAGTCAGTGGGGGTGGTAGATGCTGTTGAGTGAGCGTTTGTATGGCTGTCACACTTAAAAGACTGAGTGAGTAGAGCAAGGAATCTGCATCAAATTTTGCCTTAAGCTTGAACATTCCTCCACGGAAACTATTCAGATGATTCACAAGGCCATAGCTATGGGCAGCTGGTGATTGGCAGCTTCACCATGACAACATGCCCACTCATGCATCACATCTCGTGCAGAGTTTTTTGGCAAAACATCAAATCACTCAGATGACTCAGCCCCTCTCCAGCCTAGACGTGGTGCCCTGCGACTTCTGCCTTTTCCCAAAACTAAAATCACGTTTGAAAGGGAAAGAGATTTTAGACCGTCACTAAGATTCAGGAAAAGACAACACAACAACTGATGGTGATTGGGAGAACTGTGTGAGGTCCCAAGGTGCCTACTTTGAAGGGGAATTAGGCATCATTGTCCTATGTACAATGTTCTTGTATCTTGCATCTTCTTCAATAAATGTCTCTATTTTTCATATTACATGGCTGTATACTTTCTGGACAGGCCTCATATAATTACAGTGTGTGTTTAGTGTAAATTATCTTTGGTAAAGCAAAAATCATGTGCACTAATGAACTGAAAGTATTACACTGTTAGTGGTTTCATCTGCATTTAGTTTTTTGATCCAGTGCCCTGAATTATTTTATCCATCACATGTAAGCTATTTAAAAATATTAAAATGTTTAAAGATCACAATTTATAACAATATGATTGGAATCTGAATGTTTTAATATTTCACCATATCTAATGTAGTCTACCTTAATGTAGGAAAACTTTGCAATTTAGTATGGTATAAGACATTAAACTAAACATGGGTATAAGCAGCACTGGAAATTTTATATTTCACATGATAATAATATACTCAATAATTGTTGGGAGTTTGTAATATGCAAATTTTTCATATGTCATCATCTCTTTGTGTCTTCTAAATTAGCTGCTTGATTACTTTGGAAACCATTATTTAACTCTTAAATTTCTCTATTCCATTTCTCTTTGACTCTGATATTCTAAATTTCCATTTTGATTATCATAATAATAGCAACAACAATTTGCTAAGAATTTATTGTGCTCCAAGCACAGGGAAAACCAAGGTAGTATGTTGCATTAGTTTTCTATTGCTGTGTACAAATTACCACAAAATTGGCAATTTAAAATAACATTTATTATGTTACAGTTCCTGTGAGTCCAGGAACAGTTTAGCTTGATCTTCTGTTCAGGATCTTATAAGGCTGCATTCATCACTCTGTAATCTCACTGGAAACTAAGAAAGAATCTGCTTCCAAAATCACTCAGGTTGTTCCAAGATCTTTCGGCTGTAGAACTGACAGCCCTAGCTTCTTCCTGGCTGGAGGCTGCTCCTGTCTCCTAGAGGATACCTGTAGTTCCTTACTATGTAGGTTTTCCCAAAATGGCTGCTTACTTCACATAACTAGAATAGAGTATCTCTAAACTCTCTACAGTGAGTCAGCTAGCAAGTCACTGATACTCCATCATTTTTTGCCATGCTCTATGGTTTAGAAGCAAGTCACAAGTTTAGCTCACACTCAGGGAGAGGGGAATTGCACAAAATTGTGAACACCAGGATGTTGGAATCATGGTGGCTACTCTAGAGTGAGTCTGTCTACAATCTGCAGTAATTAATTCCCATAGGTTTTGGAATTTAGCTAACCCTGGTTTTTTACCTTGGCTATGACACTTTTGCAGTGTGATTTTCATCTCATTTTCTAATCTTTTATTTTCATATAAGAGTAGTAACCCCTTCATACTTTATTTTTCTCATATGTAAAATGAGCATAATAATAGAGTCGTTGGGATTAAATGAGCATTTTTAACATAGTAACTGACAAAAAGAAAAGCTCAATAAACACTTGTTGGTTTTCTTCCTTTTCCCTCCTCTCTTTTTAATGTTATTTTAATAATCCCCCTTGGCATTACTACCTTCAACTGCTATTTCTCCAGTCTGTGTCCAGACTGTGTGTATGTATGTGTGTATGTACCTGTGTCTAGGGCCATGCAAAACAAACTCTAGTATCAATACCTTTAAAAATAGGATTGTATTGCAAATGTTATCTCCAACTCAAACTAGGCAAAATTAACAAATGATAAATCCATAACATTAGAAACACAAGTATTACACATAGAAGTTTTCAAATGAGCTTAGAGAACTTTGTTGGGATTTTTTGTTGTTGTTGTTGACCTATTTTCCCTTTGAATCATGTTTATGCATGTGATAGAAAAGGACATGTTATGGCATCATACTATTCATAGGTTCTGAGTTTGCATGCTAGCTCTGCCACTTGCTAGCTGAGTAACCTCAGGCATATCAAGCTCTCTAAAGTGCAGTTCTCTACAGGGATA